GCTGCCCGCCTGCGCGTGGCCGTCCGCACCGCGGTGCTCCTGCGCCCGTGGGGGATCCCCGACTTGCAGGAGGCCGCGGCCGGTCTCGCCCTCGCGGTGAAGGCAGCACCGCGGCCTGGCGCTCGGCCTGACGTAGGGGCTCGCTGGCAGGTCCCAAGGGTGCTGCTGTTAAGCATCCCCTGTCTCATCCTCCCCCGGCAGGGAAACCCTGCCTCGGCGACTCAGGCATCCAGGTCCCTCCAAGCCGCCAGGTGTGACCCATGGTGCACTGGGGAACGCCAAGGACAGATGTGGCCGGCACAGTCTTGTCCCCATCCACGGTGGCCTGTTTCTGTAAAGCATCTCCTCTTCCACTCACCTTTATCAGCTGCTACACTCGGTCCTTTCTCAAGCACCACTCCTTGTCTCCGCACTGCGAGTCGCTTTCATTTGATTCTGGCCTATTCCCCTCCCTTTAAAGCTTCACACAAGGCAGGCTGGTTAGATCTCTGACAGGGCAAGGAGAAGGATGCCAAAACATCAGAAAAAAAACCCTTTCAAGTCCTCCTTCTTTCCGTTCAGGAAGGAGTTAATACCATTCCTCTAAAACACTTAGAGCACATTGTCATTTTGTTCCTAAGTCTTCAACCAGTACCCTCCCGTCATGCCTAGCTCAGCTGGGAGAGGGGGACCAAGACCCCCCTCCTGATGCTTTTAGGAATGCAAGACTGCTCCCCGAGTCTTAAATGGGCTGCAAAACCAGTCGTCTTCTACGTGTTTCCAGGCTTTGTTCCCAAGACACACACCCACACACACTCACTGAGCGATCACTCCCGCGGGCTACAGGTCAGGAAGCATTTCAGGGGTTAACAGCCATGCACGGGTCAGCAGCAGCTTTCCAACTGTTTCACTTTACTTGCCATGTTTATTACAGCAATGAAGCAGAGTAGGCACTTGAAGTCAGCTGTTTCGTGCTGACCTGGCGCATCCTTCCTGCAAGGTTGGAAACAGAAGCTCCTTGGACCCATCACTTCCAGAGCATTCTTACCAGCAGTTCCTGGCAGCCCAGGATTACGCCCAGGTGACTCTCCTCCCAGTGGTATAGGACTGCAACAGCGCTGCAGGGAGACGACAACCCTACTGTATTTTGCTTCCTTTCTTTTTCCAGCAAAAGACCTTTGGCTGACATGATGAGACACAACCCCGGCACTCATAGCTATTCCAAAGTTGTTCCATGGGTACCAGTGGCCAGCTGTGAAACAACTCAGCGTGTGACCCCTCCAGTCAAATGCATCTTCCAAACTTGTCCCAAGTTGCCCAGATGATGTCCCAAGAACATATAAAGGACACAATGTGAGGATAATACTGCATTTCTCTTTTTCTTTAAACACTCTACAGCAGGAAGTTGCATAGCTCTCATCCTGGCTTTGGTATGTCCAGCAAGGTTGACTATTTTCATTAAAAGCATCAAAATATGCTTACTAAAAGACACTGGTGACCAACTTTTACCTCAGCAGGTTACACATCTGGGCATCCATAACAATGCGATCAGCAGACAACTTTTTCATTTTACATTTAATGAGAAAAGGTGTAAAGATGTCTGAAATTCAAATTTGGAGAATTTACTCTGTATCTTTCTTCAACAAAGTTGACAGTTAAAGGAAACCCAGAAGTCAAACAGCCTACACATACATTAGGCTAAGTCCAGACAATGTTGATGAATTTGTTTAGGCAAGAAGGGAAATATTGTTTTTCAACAGGATTTTTGCAGAACAGTTCTGCCACTGTTGCTGAGCCTGACTAGCATTCAGGTTTCCCCAAGAACTCCACCCAGGGTTTAAACATGTGAGAACGTGTTTAATTTCATGAAAGTGAAGCCCTACGCCAAGCCATGGAAAAGAGCTTTCAAAATGACTATTTACTGATTTGGGTGCTTGAACATCAGAAGAAGGCAAGCCACCAGCCCCATGACTTTGAGTCACCTCATGTGAGGAAAGGCAGTTAGCTCTGCTTGCCTGCTGAAGAAGGGCACCACCAGGCAGAGCTGCCAGACCTGCAAGCCAGTTTTTGTCACCCCACCTTCTATCCAGGCAACCAGGGCTTCCACATTCAAGAGAGAAGCAGCCCAGTCCTAGCCCAGAAGCCCTTTGTCTAACCTAAAATTCACGAACCACACTTTGGCCAACAACCCCTCTTTCTGAAGAGGGCACGGAGTGGGAAAACCATCTGGATCTCTTGGTTCCTCCATATAAGACCTAAAAACTTTACTGAAGCCCTCCTTTCTCCCCTCCCCATTTATAACCCTACAGCCTTTTCTTGCGCTGCCTGGGCTGCTGTCATTTGTAGTAACTTTTTCATGCCAGGTGGGGCGATTTGGACCTGCCCAGACTGCAGTTGCTGAACGCCTCCATCAGCCTTGAACCTCCCGAGCAACGCTGCTGGCAGAGGTGCTCTTTGAGGAGGCAGGTTCAAGTGCCCGGGGTGGGCGAGTGCCCTGCTGGAAGTGCCTTTCTGAGCTGACTCACAAAAACACTGCTTGCCATTTGTTCATATATCCCTGTCAGGGGCCTCTGTATGCAAACCCTGGAAGGCTGATATTTGCTGTCTGTTGATTCAAAGCCACTCAAGCCAGTGAAACTGCACCTGCAACCAGGCTGATTTTAGCTTAATGCATTTCTGGAATATGTTCTAGTCTCCAACAATAATGTAGCCCTCCAGGAACAACATACTGTCTTGTGGGTAACACTGCTCATTTGCCTGAATGTCATCTGCCACAGTCAATTTGGATCAAGTCTTGAATATCTCCATTGTAAAGTATCTTTGAGTGTTTCCGAAGAGTAACAGCCCTTCAGTGCGGTCTGAGAGCCTTCAAGATAATAACTAATGCACCATAGCCAAACTTAACTTTTACTATGCCTACAACCAGTCAGAAGCTCTCCACTCGAGATACTGCTAGCCCCTTATTGAAACTGGCATTCTGTATCAGTGCCAGGTTTTCAGTTTTTGCTTATGCTCGGATACCCAAAATAATTTCAGTCAGTCCAGTATAGGAGCTAGCACACCAAGTGCTTTCACACACACTTGAGGCAAGTGAAATGCATCTGAGACTGTTTGAAAACATAAAACTGACCATCAACTTCCATTTGATGTAAGAAGCGCAATTATTTCTAACACAGAATTTTACAAAGAAAGCAATTCTGTCAGATAAGCAATATCACAAAAACTTCAAATCAAAATTTTAGATAAACATGCAACAGCTGTAATTTATAGACAGAATCCATCTGACCACATGTTAATGCTCTACTTAAGAAAGCAATGCCATTTATACATAAATGCTTAACTTACTAAAAATAGCCGCAACTCTAGACCATCTTCTCTTGTACAGGAGTTATTTAAGAAAATGAGCTCTTCTCAAATTCTCAGACTTCCCAGCATTGACTGACTAAGAACTAGACCCAGAAAATGGTGTTTAGGTATCTATGTCCAAACAGTCCTCAGAATCACAACCTACCTCTATTGTCATTTCCCCAAAGTGTAAACCAGTCTGTGTTATTTCTGCATTCCTTCCCCTTCTCCTACCATTCCCGGCACTCATCAGACTCCACAGTGAAAACCTTACACTGCAGGGTTAGATGAGCACTAGTGCTAAGGCAGAGTGTGAATACGTGGGGTGGGGGTGTGTGTAAAACCACACCGACTTGGACTGGCCTCGACTGCTGTAGAACAATCTGCTTGGGCTAGCGTGCATGAAGGCTTTTAGCCTGCATAAATCAACACTTGGCATTAATGACTTGAAGAATTCTCCACTGAGAATTAGGGAAAAAGTGAGAGCGAACATGGCAATCTTTTCTAGTGATTAGTCAATATGGGGACAGGAGACTGGGGTCCAGTCTCTATTCTAAGGGTGGTTTATTCATTTAATCCAATGAGCATTCCTCATTACAAAACCTGAGACTGAACCCTTCCCCTAGAGATCCTTATCGCCTGAGCTGCACTACAACACATATGATAGCCTAATAAAAAGCCACAGTTAAAAAGCAGCAACAGCCTTACTCTTTTAGGACTCTACTATTATATATTGAAGATAGATAAATCAATAGAAAAAAAAACATTTTTATACATCTAATTAAGGACATGCCAGGTTGGGGGGGGCGGGGGGATACATCTATCTTTAGAAAAGAATAGCTGTCAGACACATTCAGAGTGTTTATATCTAGTGAGCAGCATGACGATGACTTCTTCTGCTTGGGAGAAGATAACCTCTGGTCAGGCAGTCCAATTGTAGCAAGTATGGTCTATAAATAAGCCTCTATTCTGCAATTTTATTTTTCTGTGAAAAGGAAGATGATTTGTGTGGGTTTATCTCATCTGTTGGTTTCAGAAAGTCATTATGAAATCTGCCAGGTCATCTATATTCATCTTTCTTGGGAATAATGCTGTAACACTGA